TGGTGTAGGGACTAAGCTGTTTATCTTGTGTTCAAAAGACATGAGTTAAGGTTCCAATTTAGAACATAATTTATTCCATCAAGCATTTTGCTGTCTTTCTTCTGGGGTGATGTATCTCACTCTGCCAAACTGACCTTGGTAGCCAGGGTTGAAGCAGCATACCCCCTAAATGATCATGATTGTCAGTAGACAACATATTAATGACCAGTCAATTACAACAAATCAAACTTTTTTTCCATGAAATTGAGGAAATATTTTTTGTTGTCTTTTCTGCACTGAGAGTACACAGTGTTTTCTACACAGACAGACAACATTTTGTATGTGTTTTCTACACAGAGAGACAACATTTTGTGAGTGTTTTCTACACACAGAGACAACATTTTGTGAGTGTTTTCTACACAGAGAGAGACATTTTGTGTTTGTTTTCTGCTCAGAGTTAATTTTTAATTTTTTAAATTTTTTGTCTGTTGTGTCCAGAGAGCCCAGGAGAACCAGGCAGAGCTCAACAGACAACTGGAGGAGCACGAGCGCCAGGTAGCCCAGCAGCAGGCGGAGATGGCGGGCCGGGAGAAACGCAGACAGGAGCGACAGAGACAGCTGGACATACAGAGGGCAGACAACCTACGGCAGGAGCTGGAGCAGAAGCAGAGAGACAAGGAGAGGCAGGAACTGAGTCGGCAGAGAGAACGCCAGAGAGAGGTGAGAGGGGGCGGGAAGGAGGCTGAAATATAGGTGGAATACGACAAGGTAGAGGCTGGAAGATTGGTGAAATGAGGGAGGAGAGGAGAGACTGAAATATTGGTAAGTGGAATTGGGGGGGGGGGGGGGGGTACGAAACATAAAAAAATATATAGAAAAGGGGGCGCTTAGTAGGAGAGGGGGGGGGGGTAGATGGGAGAGGGAAGATGATTTGGCGGATTTTACAGTGCAATTATAAAAGTAGAATAATGAAGAAAGATGTGGGGAAGTTGAGAATCAGAGTGTGAAGTGATTGGGATTTGTGAAGAAAAACTGCGGATCTAAAAATGAAAAAGAAAAAGCAAAGTGGTGGCTTGTTATGTGCTGTTCCTCCCTTAGGGATTGATTTCAAAGTTTGGAAGGTGAGGTTTCCTGGTTTTTTGTTCTGTTCAAGTTTTGTATGATGTTAAGTGGGTGAGAAAATGTGAATTTTTCTGGAAAGACTCGTTTGAAATAATCGGCGGGTGTGGGTATGGGGTCTCAGAAATCATTGGTGTAAAATGTTTACCAAATTTAATAACTTTTTCAACTTTGTTATCCATTTCTTTGCTGAGTAGTGTGGTTATATATGGACAATTTGTTATTTGTCTCTGGTTTCTGCTTCTTTTGCAGAAAGAGAGAGAGCAACAGTGGTTGGAAGACATGAAGAAGAAAGCAGAAGACCAGATGAAGTTGCAGCAGCAACAGGAGCTTGCTGTCAAAGAGCTGAAAGCCAGAAAGGAACTGGAGGGTGCTGGGCTTCCCGGTGGCAATAAGCTGAGATCAGGAGAGGTGCCGGCCCTAAAGAATGCTGGGCCCATGTTGAACGAAGAGGAGAAAAGCCCTCAGCAAGATGTGAGGAAGCAGTTTGATGCTGAAGGACTCCTCAGTAAGAAAGACCTGGGGCGTGATTCTGTGAGAAATGTGGCCGGTGCAGGACTGGAGACAAGGGACAGGCAGAAGAATGCGGGGGTGGATCTCCCAGCAGGAAATAATGGTGAAAATGTGGCTAACCAAGCTCAAGCTGAACCTCCTAATCCAGTGCAGCATGACAATCCAGCTGCAAATCAGGACGCGCTGAAAGTGGTAGCACGTGTGCCAGAGCCGGGTGAGAAACTTCCGGGCAGTGACAATGAGATCCCTCGCAGCGAGAGAGACGCTGGGGATCAGATCAACAACAACGCAGAGCTACCCAACCTACCCCAGCAAGTGCCGAACGTGCTCAGTAATAATGATAATAGCCAAGTCAATAATAATGACAACGATAATATGGGCGGGGGTGGGAACAACAATCAGAACCAGCAGTATCAGAACATGAACGATGACAGCAACAGGCGGGACCGCGACCAGCCACAGATTGGGGGGCTGCACCTCAGCTGGGACTGGGAGGATTTCTCTATCATGTTTAGTAACTACGGTAACGCGGAGATGAAAGTGCGACGAGCACCGCACCCTACCACGGGAGAGCCCTGGCCCATGCCGCAGTACTACTCCAAGAAAGATAAGAAGGTGAGCTCCTTGATGTGAAGCTACTTGTATCAATGTATTCTGGGCCAGGAATGTATTGTTTAGGGATGGTTGATTCAATTTTTTATTTGAGGTTGAGTGTGAACACATCAGTGGTGAGATAACAATTTCTACTCTTTTTCCTGTTTTCTAAAGACAGAACCTTTTTCTTCTTTCTCAACTTCTTCTCTGTTGTGAATCTGTTGATCCCATTTTACTCGAATGGAAAACGTGAGAAATATTTAATTTTTTGGTATGATTTCTTTTCTGTCAGTCTTTCATTGTTTTGTCTGTGCTTCAGTTGTAGTGTTATTTCTATCTTGACTTAATCAAACGGTGTATGTTCTGTTGACAAAATACAAAACTTGAGTAATCTTGCAGTGGTCAAAAATCTATTTGTAGATATGAAAGGTAATCACTCATGATATTAACATGTTGAGATACCTTATGGCTCTTTTCATTGCAAGAGGTGTTGTTGATAGGCAGCTTAATGTTGACACAAGCTATAGTTTCTTGGTGCTTACATTTAGGGAATAATGGGTGCTTTGAAGGTGTATCTTTGTTTGCTCCATGATCAGGCTGTTGAGTCATTCATTTTATTTTTGTGTTTATTCGTTTGTAATGTGTAGAAAGTGATTATTAAAAGCTAAAAGCTTCTGACTGGAAGCAGCCTTAAAGCACAGCGGGAAATAAACTGAAGTGGCGGTTGTTCAACTTTTAATTGTTTCCGGTGGCTATTTAGACTGCGAGGCAGGTTCGGAGACTGGCCTCCTAAGTGATCTAAATTGTGTCGATGGCGGTGTTAAAACTGTTGTTAAAAACTGATTTAGTTTTTGTTTCTTTGCTTGGTCATTGTTTCTTGATTATATGTTTCCTCCTTAATCTTAATATTCAGGCATCCTTGTTTGCTTTATTGTTTGCTTGAAATGTATGGAGTCAAAATTTACCCTTCAGTCTACCTTGCCCGAAACAGAATTCTTCATCTGCTCTTATTGTCTAGGTGTACAAAGTGAGCAAGGACTTGCGATTTGTACCTACGGGTGTTAAATGTGACATCCTGGATGAAGCCATAGTTCGCCACCTTCAGCGGGTGTTACGAGGTGCTGTGGAAGACATGTACGACAACCTGCAGCATGCTGAGGGCACCTTTGTGGATGATCCGAGCCTCAAGTATGACAGCGAGGAATATGTCAAGGCCCCTACCATCTCACGGGTGGAGATTAAAGTGAGGAAAGCCTGTGAGAAATATCCAACATTGGACTCTGATGAATCTTGTAAGTTTTCTCTTTTTTTTAAAAACATTTTTTCCTTTCTCTATTTTTGTATGAATGTATGCTCAGACTATGTATGTTGCTGAAAGGAAGAAAAGTATTTAATGCCCACCTGTCCACCCTTGCGTATAGATAAAGTAACTTATTGATGAAAATATGTCGTTAAATTAGGGTTATGTTCATTACCCTTTTCCAAAAGATATTTGAATGTTTTATATCTTTACGTACATTTCCAGTTTTTGCGGGGGGCATAGGCCCGTATATATGGACACTGTATTTTACTTTTAACATTGTTGACCCAGTATGATGATGTCATTCTCAACGAGGTCATGCTGTGTAATGTGTTGTATGATGTCCTGTGTCCCAGATGACCTGGTGGTGAAGAAGAAAAAGACGTATATCTGGGCCAATGAGGTGTGGGGAGCCATGCGTGGCCTGGAGACCCTGGGACAGCTGGTCTGGAAGGGAACCGATGGACTGGTGAGTGACCATTGTTGGACACAACTGATCTTCTGAGCACTAAACTTTTATTGCTTAAAACAGGGATGTAAATCTTCCGGCTTTGTCTGTTTTTTCCGGCCGACTTGCTATTTGGCCCCAGCTTTTAACAAAAGTCTACTATAAACAATACATAATACATATTATAGATACTAAATAGAGATTATTTGTTGTAATAAAGGGAAAGAAACTAATATAATTTAGTCTCACTGTATTCTTATTTCATTCAGTGTGCATATATTGTCCTGCTTTTTTTCAAAACCTGTTTCCATCCCTGTTGAAATGTCTCGCGGGGAACAGGTAGAAGTGATTTATGTAAAGTAGGTCTCAAGAAGTGTTATAAGTGAGAAGATCTCTGTTTCACGTAGGCAAAAATTGATATGATCATAAGAATACTTGTTCTTTCAGAGAGAAAATTGTCATTTTTCAGTAAGTGAAGATTTTTTTTCACAGCATTGATCCCTTTTGATCTTTGAGTAACAGAAAGGAATAACCTTGCCCACAGGTTGTGTACTGGTTCATTGTTTGCACTTGATTATTTTTACAATTTTATTGTTCTCCTTTTTAAAATTTTTCTCTTCTTCATCACTGTTATGAAGCTGTGAAATAGTAAGTACTCACTGTTAATGATGGACAGGATATTTTATATCGTTCCAGACTTTGATAACACTATGTACATGTGCTAGGTCCTCTTTTGCTTTTGCCTTATAAATAATTCTTTCTCTAATTCACCCCATGAAGTTTTTTGTTTGTTTTTGTTTTGACCTTTTTTTTCTGCCTTTCTATCTATAGGCAATATCGGCTATTCATTTTCTTACATCCAGTGCATTAACAGTTCTGTACATTTTATATGATATCATCTTTACATGTTCCAGACTCGTATTTCACGTCTGAGATTTTAAAAACTCTCACTTTCATCCCTTCTTATTCTAAACCTTTTTTTTTCTGTCTCCAGCTGTACATCAAAGAGACTGTGATCAGTGACTACCCGCGGTTCCCTCACAGAGGCCTGCACATCGACACCTCCAGACATTTCCTCTTCAAGGAAATCATCTTGGATATCATTGTAAGTCGAGAGCAAAGATGGATGGTGTCTTCAAACTTTTGCTTATTTGGAAAGAAAGTATGGGATGTTGATAAAGTCTTTTTCTGTAAACTTGGAACAACGCTATTCATGTTGAATGTGTGTGTGTGTGCTTCAATTTTGTGATTTAGTCTTGCTTTGACGATTAACCTGTTTTCATGGCAGAACACTGTATCTATGATGTTTTTGTATTTTTTTGTAAGACGTTTATGAAAAAGGTTTTTCGAGATGCCTATGAATTGTTGCTACTGTTATGGCAGAAGTTCAAACTCTTTGTTGTAAAATATATTATGAAACTCAACATATATATAGTTGGAAACAGATATCATGGATAGTTTGTAAATTTTGCCATTCCACAACTGATATCTCTTTAATTTTTTTTTTTCTTTGATTAGCCCGAATTATGAATGTGTTGAACACATTTGTCAATCCCGGACATTAAGTTATTTATGCCCGACTGTATGTCTGTTTTTTTCCTTTGTGCATTTGTAGGAGAGCATGGAGATGAACAAGCTGAACGTGTTCCACTGGCATATTGTGGACGACCAGTCCTTCCCGTACGAGAGCAAAGTTTACCCCGAGCTGAGCCGTAAGGGAGCATTCCACCCTACCTATGTCTACTCTCTGGAAGATATCGCCGAGATTATCGAGTATGCTCGTGTCCGTGGCGTCCGTGTCATGCCAGAGTTTGACACCCCAGGTGAGTGACTAGGCTGGATGTGGGTGGTCTTCACATTGAAAACATTGAAGTTTCTTCAGGGTTTTTTTTATTAGGCCTTATAACTGTTTCCTTAGAGTTAGAGAGGAGTATGACTTTGACGGGAGATACCGAACCTCTTTCTTTCACTGGGCTTACCGAGAAGCCTACAGTGCAACAAGCTGTTGATCAAGGGCTAAACCATCAACAAACTGACAAGACCTTTTGCGTCCTGTAGCGAAATACCCATTCCTACCTGAATGAAAAGGAAAATTTAAGAAAAAGTGCGTATCCCAAGGACACAATGTCATGCCCCTGACAGAGTTTGAACCTATGTGCTTTCGGTTACGAGCCCAACAGCTTAACTATTAAACCACCCACGACACAATTAATGAAGTGTCTTTTCTTTTGGTTCAAAGTCAGAGTTTAAGGCTGCCAATAAGTCGGGGTCTACTTTTATTTCTCTTGCTTTCTATTACACTCATCTTTATCTGCTTGATGGCCCTCACATACATTGATGATAAGGTCTTGGGCTTTATTGAAGCCGTAAAAGCTGAAGTCGTCGTCATCTATATCACTTTTCTCTTCATTCCAGGTCACACCTATGCCTGGGGCCTGAGCCGTCCTGAGCTACTGACCCAGTGTTACTCTGGCAGCACCCCGGTCAAGGGTTACCTGGGCCCCATCGACCCCAGCAAGAACTCCACCTACCGCTTCCTGCAGACTCTCTTCCAGGAGATCATGGGTGTCTTCAAGGACCAGTATCTGCATCTTGGAGGTGATGAGGTGCCCTTAGGATGCTGGTGAGTATTGATGTGTTGATGGTAATGAACTTTTTTCTTTGGTTCACTCACTCACTCACTCTGTCACTCACTCACTCGTTCACTCACTGACTCACTGACTCACTCACTCACTCGCTCACTCACTCACTCACTCACTCACTCACTCACTCACTCACTCACACACTCACTCAGACACACACTCACCCACCCACCCACCCATTCACCCATTCACTTAATCACCCGCCTACACCATGACTTTTGTTCCTCAGCGTTCTGGCTGTTTTGACAATGTTGAAAATCTCGGGGCTTTTCTTGACTGCTCCTTCGTTGATACCTTTTTGTATTAGTAATTTATTATGGTTTTACTGGGGTTTTTTTTAGACTCTGTCCTCCCCTCCCCTTTTTGTTTTTTGGGGGGGTTTTGTATTTTTGGCATTGTTGAGTGGAGGAGTTGGATATCTGGAAAAATGAGAAGTGAATGATATAGAATAAGTTTGGAAGAGCTGAAGAAGCAGAAAGATTTCTGCTTATATTTTGGAACCATGTATTCATAAACTTTTCTTCTCCTGTCTCTTTCTCCCATAAAATGGGCTCCTCTTCATGCTCAAGTATGTGTTATGTAATCGCCAACAGTTTAGCTTTCTCAAATATGTATCTTATTTATGGTGACGTAATTAAATAATTTGTATCCTTGTTTTCCTTCAAATTAGACACATGTACAACTAACTGTGCATCATAATCAGTAACTTCATATCCGCCATTGTTCTCCCTATTTTTATGTCTTTATGTCCCCATCCATTAGAGGCTGGACCACTTTCTTTCACTTTTTGTTCATACATTTTTATTGACCATATTTTATTATAATTTATCTTTCATCTCTCTCTCTTCATTTTCTTTCCCCCTTCAGGCAATCAAACCCAGAAGTGATGGCATTTGCCACAGAGCTGTCCAAGAAGTCTAGCGGCCGCTCACAGCAGCAGGCTGGAAGTTCTTTCTACAACTCAAACTTTGGCTGGAACAACGTGTGGTCTGAAGATGTGAAGATGGTCTATGAGTACTATGTCAACAGGTGATTGTCCTCTCTTTAAGGCACTGGTTTGTTGGTGGAATTTTGTGCATGCACATACATATACTCACATGATGCGCACACACACACACATACATACACATACGAGCATGCACACACACAAACACACACACACACACACACACACACACACACACACACACACACACACACACGCGTGCATACACACACAAACGCATACACGCATACATGCGCACACATGCACATGTGCGCATGCACACGCACACACACACATGCGCACTCACGCACATATGCGCACACATACGCACACGTGTGCTCGCACACAAACACACATACACACACCCACACATTGTGTATAGAAGTGCTGGTTATGGGTTACCTTCGTTTTCTCTCTTTCTTCTTTTTTTTTTATTCAATATTTCTGCTGTGCTAGTCTGTTCCTGGTAAAATCTAGTGTATGCTGTGTATACTTGGTGTAGACTTCACCTTGCAGTGACTCTAGCTCAGTGCATCCTCAACTGACTGACCTGACCTTTTGTGTTTTTGCTGTCTTCAGATTAATCAAGATTCTGAATGATTTGGGTCACAAGCGCAAGAAGGGCGTCCGCTACATCATGTGGCAGGAAGTGATGAACAACAATCTGCAGGTAAGTGTTAGTGGTAGGTACACTGGCAGGCAACTCGATGTGGTAAGCTATCTCTTATCATTCAAATATGTTTTCGCTTAATGATCAGATTAGTTGCTTCTTGTCTCGTGTCAAATCACTTTTTACGTGACTTAGACGATACAGAGGTTCCGATAGGTTTTGATAAAATCAGTTTGTACCACAACTAAAATGTCATCATCGGTCCAATCCACCATTCTGTGAGAATTAGCTATCTGTCTATGAAGAAATCTGTTCCTAACATAATAAAGCTGTGCCAGCATACACTTTTCTCTAATAGTTTTTGTTTGTTTTGTTGTTTTTTTAATGGAGGATGTACAAAGAATAATTACTTTGAGGGAAATAGTCTAACTTTTAGATAATTCTCCAAAGGGATGCCACTTTTCCGCTTTTTTCTGGTATTTCCGGTATTTTGATTTTGGTCCGCTATTCCGTTATTGAGATCGAGATAGAATCTATAGTTTGAGAAAAAACAAAACACACACACACACACACACACACACACACACACACACACACACACACACACACACACACACACACACACACACACACACACACACACACACACACACACACACACACACACACACACACACACAAATGTTCAAATAACACAGCTTATGTTTGTTTGTCATTTCTCTCTATGTACACCCTTTGGGTTTGTCATTTCTCTCTATGTACACCCTTTGGGTTTGTCATTTCTCTCTATGTACACCCTTTGGGTTTCAAATTGATATTCATGTGTTCGCCAGACCGTGACGCGTTGATTTTCAGCTATTTTCAAAAAAGTTGTGTGGCATCCCTGCTCTCCCTTACTATTCTTCCTGCTGTTGTAACTGCGACTCAGCACGCCACTTTGTGTCCCTCCCATGTACAGCTGCCCAACGACACCATCATCCAGGTGTGGATGGGTGACATGGCGGACGTGATGCGAGCTACCTCCATGGGCTACCAGGTCCTCTACTCTACCTGCTGGTACCTGGACCACGTGGAGTACGGCACCAAGTGGCCAAAGTACTACAACTGTGACCCTGTAGATCAGAGCTACGGTGAGATTTAAAACTTTTTTTTTTTTTGGCTCTCTTATTCCAGAGGTATGGGGGAAGGCTTTCGTATCTGGAGAAGGATTTTTTTTCAGGAGAAGCAAAAAATTACAATGTTTTGGGCAACTTCTTTTTTATGTCTCAATTTCGCTTGTCTCTTATTTTGTTCAAGCTCAGCAATGTCGGACAACAAATACACTCGTCTTCTTTTTTGGCGGAACCCTTTACATGTCTACTTTTTCAGTTAGAGTTTCAGTTTTGGTTCTCATTTAGTCTCACGGATTTAACAGGAATGGTTTTTAAAAATGTTATGCTGGTCTGAATTCTCAGGTTACCACATCGATGAGAAGAAAGTCTTAGGAGGAGAGATTGCTTTCTGGTCCGAGTACTTCTCCAACGAGAATCTCATACCTCTCATGTGGTAAGTTTTCTTATAGTTCTATCTTAGTCTCCTTGCTCTTATGTTTGTAATTTTCTTTAAAGTTTAAACTCCTTCTGTGCTCAAAATAGGGTGTTTTGAAGATGGAACATTTTGTTTCTTAATAATACCGAGCCTGAGAGGAAGGATTCTAGAGATGAGAAAGGATAAGCAAAAATTCTAAAGGCGCTGAGATTTGAGTCTCTAGTTTTACCGCTTTAGCCTTTGACAAAAGTGGCTTCAAATATAAGCAGAGCTAATTTTTCCTTTCTCTTAAGTGTGCTGATAAGGTTCAACACAGGACCCAGTTATGTTAGGTTAAAAGGGGAGTAGATGCACCCAGTTTGTCTCATGGTTGATGAACAGTTCCTCTGATATTTATTGCACACCGGGGAACTGTGGCTTGCAACAAGAACTGCTATGTGCAGCTGATTGCTGAAAATGGGTAAAAAAAAGCTGCCCTCCCTGTATCTTACCCTCTTATAATTTAATGATGTACCATCACTTTTCTTCTCAGTTACAAGCTCCTACAATGTTGTTTAATGTTTAACCCTTTGAAACTGTAGGGTAGGTAGGCATACGTGGGGTTTACCAATTTTGAGCATTCCAGGAATTGGGATTTGGGAAATGTAAAGGTCTATAGTGTAAAGGCTTATGGTTTACTCTTATTCCTGAGGTATACAAGTTGAATCTCAGTGGTACTATTCTCTGGTTTTAGGTCATCTTCAGCTCTCTGACAGTTTTGTCTATGTTATTCTCATTTCATTGTTAAGTCAAACACACTTGAACTGTTTAGTGTATAACTGCTATATGCCATTTTGAAAAGTGATGTATGATGGATGGATTCTTACACTGAACTGTTGATATGCAGATGTTCATAGAAAGTCTCAAATTGTTGGTGGTTGGCAGGTGCTTTGGTGTGGTTTGCTGTTTCTTTCCTATAAAACATCTATCGACTCTATCCCCCCTCCTTTTTTGTGTTACTCTCTTGTAACACGTCTAATCTTTGGCACTTATATAACCATATTTGTTGCAAGTGCCGTAAAACTCTTATTAAAACTAAAAAGCCTCAGGTTGTAATGGTTTTCAATTGTTCTCATGTATGTGCACAGGCCAAGGGCATCAGCTGCAGCAGAGCGACTGTGGAGTAGCAAGGATGTGAAAAACCTAGACAAGGCTGCTGAGAGGTTATCGGAACATAGGTGCCGCATGATCAAGTGGGTAGTGGCAGACTGCTGCCTGTATTTGTATACATAACATATATGTGAGGCGTGCTGACAAAATGAGTTACTTCTCACAATCCACAAAATGGAGATATTGGCAAAAAATCTACACAAGGGTCAGATTCGTAGAATTTTTGCTGATGCCATATTCTTTAACTATAACATGCCTTTAATTATTCCATATTAATGAATTATAAAAACTTCACCTATAAGCGTGATAGGCCTATATCCTTTTTCCATAAGTCTTGAATCCGAGAAAAAACTCATTTTGTCAGCACGCCTCACATATGTGTACTAAATACGCATGTCTTTACTCAGTGCTGGTACCCAAACAGCTCTCTGCCCTACTACTTCTTTTCCTCTCTTCTGAACTTCAAAAAATATTTAAAAACATTACGTTCCGTCTGTGAAATATGAATGACAGGAGCCAAATGTAGCCATTATCAGACTAATGAAATATATTCAACAAGTGTAGGTGGTTTTTGGGTGCTCTTGTCCAGTCTTCTTCCGCTACTTCTTTTTTGTTCTTCTATCACCCTGGTCTCTTCTTTAGTACATGTAGTTATCATGCTGGCTAATGGTTATCTGCAGCTCAACAACAACAATATTATGTTGCAGGTGCTTTTAGTTTTAGTAATGTTTTACTGTGCTTGCAACTGCGTAAGGTCATATGAGCCTGGTTACAGGTGTAATGGTAAAAGTAAAATCTAGAAATACAAAATGTTGCCCTCTCATTTCAAACTGCTTGACCTAGTACACAGCACTGAGGTTCACCATCAGGTCATTAGGATGGCAGCTATGTCTTACACAAATATGAAAAGGTGGGCTGTTATCATCATGATGCATGAAAACTGGGGGGATTAAACTTTATTTTCACTGACCTCCTGTATACTAATGTTTTCTCTTTTTCAACTCTGTCACTAGACGTGGAGTGAACGCGGGGGAGATCAGTGGACCTGGCTACTGTCTACACCCCCCTCCCCGCCGCCGAGTTCTCAACGACACGCTGGGCTGCAAGGGCGGTAACTGCAGCCGCACGCACAACTTTGTCCAGATTGAGGACATTGAGCTCCACGTGAGCCAGAGAGGAGGGAGTTTGGCTGACTGTGGGCATGTGAGTTATAGTTTGGATAATCATTTTGCATAGTTTTTGGTCATAGCTCTTTTTTGTTTTGTTTTATAACAATACTTCATTTCATTGAAGTTTATTTTTGGTAGCAAATTGTGATGGGCCAAAATATAATGCAACCAGTTTTTGGTGCAGTTGGTTATGACCGTCACTTTGAGTCTATTGTTGTGGATTATTTTCTGAATATGTTCTTTTTTTCTTACTTTATTTAACCCTATCCGTACGCCCTGGGGTCGTTTTGTACCCCCGGGGTTGTATTCTTCACGTTTTAAAATACTTCTAGTGTGAAGATCTCTTTGAAATTTTCAGTATTTCTCATTAAATCATTTTGACAGACCGCTATGAAAAGCGTACGGATCGGATTAACGAGTAAATTTCCTCTTTGGAAAATGGTGGCACAGAGTTCCCCCCGTGGTATGGATATGATAGTAAAACACGACGTATGGATAGGGTTAATGATTATCCTTCAAGGAATATTTTTAAATTTTTAGCTCTGTTTCTTTGTTTTAATTCAGAGGCCCCTGTTTTCCACCATCAAAATTACCTATTCCTGTTCAGTAGAATGTTGAATTTATGCTCAAACTCGAACAATCCCGTTTCCAGGTTTTCAGCCGGGCCAACAACAATGTGATGGTGATGCTGGCCCTGGCACTTGTGGTTGTACTGGCTCTGTTGGCGTTGTCAAGGTCATCGTCGAGACTACACCGGCTGCGCTTGTGCCGCAACCGCTCCATCCTCATTGTGTTCGTCATCGTTCTCCTTGTCTACTTCCTGTGCTACACAACGATATGGATCCGTGCGTTCGAGTTTTCCGGCTCCTTCCACAAAACTTTACAGGAGGACTCGCCGGGTGGGGAGAGCGGTGGTAAAGGAGGTGGGGGTGTCGGAGACATGTCACATGACACTGGAGCAGGTGGTGGTGGTGGTGGAGTGAAATATAGCAAGGCACATCGCTCTTAGCAGATCATCATAATATTATTATTATTATTATTGGTTTAAGTGTTTATATGTGTGTGTGAGTCGGTGTGTGTGTGAGTCAGTGTGTGTGTGTGTGTTCTGTGTGTGTGTGTGCGTGAGTGCATCAGTTGGAATGTATCAAGGTGTTTGTAAATCACACTTTAAACAAGTGCTGATGAACTCACAGGACATATTCTGAAAGTAAATGTGAGCCTTTGTGTGCATGTATGTATGCGAAAAGGGGAGTGAGAGAGAGAGAGAGTGTGGAGTTAAGTTTATGTGTATACATGTTAATTCTCATTCTTTGTATATGTATGTTTAAGATATTAAAAAGGGGATTTGTTTGTTTGGAGACATTATCACCACTTTGTTCTTCTATGATGTATTGGCATATTCAGAGTGAAGTGAGGTGATAGGGGTCTAGTACTTTCTTTGCACTTGTTGCAGTTTCTCACCACTTCTAAATGTGTTGGGGTTGTGTGTGGGGGTGTGAGCGTTTGTGTGTGTGTGTGTGTGTGTGTGAGAGAGAGAGAGAGAGAGGTAAAAATCAGTCTGTATCAGACTATTTTGAATGGATGGATATGAAGAGCGAGACCTTAAAATGAAATGAAGGTTTGAAGACTTAAAAAGAAATTTATACTCGAAGGAAAATGTTGAGAGTTAGAGTCAAAATTATATGGAAATGTACCGAGAATTAGTTTTTTCTCTTTTTTTTTCAATTTAGTTTTCATACTTCTAGTCATTGACTTTTAATTTCTCAATGTAGAAGCTCGACAATTTTTATCTAATATAATACTTTTTTTTTTCATCACGGAATATATTAGTCTGTATATTGTGACTAAGAAACGGATTTCTCCTCATTTTTTTAGTTTACTTCTTAGAGCTCCTAATGACAAGATCATTCTGTTTGTGGCCTTGAACCTTTGTCTCATTTTGAGGTTTTGCCAGACTTATAAAGTGATGTTATTGTGCATAATATACATAGCAGCATAAATGTTGTACATTCATTTTCACACTTAAAAACCTTTCTCAACCGTTGCCCATCGTCCACCCATGCTTCCAGTTCTTGCAATCCAGAGGCAAGACGATATCATCATTTCAAAACCAACTGCAGGTAGTAATATTCAATTGATCAAAAAAGCACACTGAAACATTGAGCTGTCTTTGTAGATTTAATATTTGCATATGTCTCTGTTTCAAGTACTCAAAACTAACTGTTCAGAGGGGTTAAGACTGGTTTTGTAATGTTTCCATAATACAGATAGCCAGTGAAATTGCAAGCAGAACAATATTGTCATCATAACTAGTAATGGTTGCATGCTTGCTTTTCTGACATGCCTGCGGACGGTTCTATGGAAGAAGCTAGATACAGCTTTTGCAGTAAGTCTTGTGTGCCGCTCACTATCCTTTTGAGATTTGAAATGAGGTCATCAGTCTTCCCTTGAACCATATTGTTATTGTATGCCTTTTTGCTTTCCTGATATATGAGAAAACTTTGTCAAATATTTGAGCAATGAACCACATGTAGATTTGATTGCAAATATTCGATGATGTGCTGATGCCCTGGTTGTGGTTACTTTCAAAGTCTGTGCAGCTGGATACTGTCATTTGTATGAAAAGTATTGTCAGTTTGTGGAGAACCGAAATTCCTGGAAATTGTCACTGCAGTGTTATTGTAATTAACAGCACTTTTTTTTGCTTGTAGCAGTTAAACACAATAATGTTTTGATTAAGCTGTCCTTTGTGTTCAGCAGGTTGGAAAGGATTCTTCAAATTTTAGAAGCTGCAACAGTTTGATTTGATTTCATTGTCTTTTTTCATTGAGAAAGACAGTGTGAATGAATGTGGTGGTCTTTACCCTAGTCAAGTGACAGGTGTAGGTTTGCACTGTGAATAGTGTAGGGAAAATTCAGTTCCTTTTAGGTGTGACCTGCACTTGACATGGGGTGTGTCGGAGTGTGAGTACTCTCGTCCCAGGACTTGTGCTGTTTAACCTTTTAGTGCTTCTGTGGTTTAGAGAGAGACGTGCGTTTTTATAAAATTGACAAATTTTATATTCCTAAATCGAGTCTCCAGCAAGAGTTATATCTGAGTGCGTTGTGTTCAGCTTCTGTTTGCAGTAAATTCAGTGACAATTGTTTGTTACAATGTGCGTTATATTTTACACCAATTCTCAAAATGTGTATTTATGGAGGGTTATGACAAAAGCTTAATCTTTGGAGTCATTTACACTTGTTTTGTATTCATAAATGTGTGATGAATTGAGTATCTGATTATGAAGTTATGTGTAGGGTAGTCTTTTGTTGAGAGGCTTGCATGGTCTCCTACGTGATAATTAAGTTTGAGCAATGAGAAGTGCATCAGCACGATAACAGCCACTCCATGCTAGGTCGGAGCAAAGCAGGTAAACAGAACCGACCAAGGGAGAGGAAAGATGGAGGAGCTTCTTGTGTCGTCCTCCAACCACTGAGAATCTCTAATCGGACACTCTTTAACTTGATTTATTTTGGTACTTACAGTCCTGCCAAGTATTCTGATTAAATTATAACTGTCGGATTGTTTTCTTTTTTTTGTCCGTTGAAGAACACCTGTTTGGATTTACATTAAAAAAAAATTTTTTCCATCTTGAATTCAGTTTTCGTTAGGTTATATCCAAGTTTGTGTAAATGACATGAAATTGCACATTTCTCTTTGTGTCAATTTGTGTGTATTTGCACTAGACATTTATTTACCACTGTTAGTTTGTTATGTAATCTTAATCTATTGGAGTTCTGGAGACACAATATTTTTCAAACTCCAAATTTTTGTGAAGATTTTGAGGAAAACTCCTATTTTAGGTCATAGAGTTGTTGGCAGGTCTGTGCTTATCAAGGCACCTGCCCACTTGACTGTCTCATTAGAAGAGGAAGATAAATCAGAGGTCCTGCCCCATAAAAGATCTTACAGTATTGAACGGGGTATTATACCAAATCAATCAAAAGACCATGTATATACTTAAGAAGTAAAACAGCAGGAATTCATTGGAAGTAGTGAATTGTTTGTCTTATCAGGCCAAGCCACTGATACAAGCTGACACCTTGTTGTCAGTAAGTTATTGGCAGTAATGTTGAGTCGTTTCATCCTCTTATTTTGTTTCAGTTTTCTGTTGTTTGAATCTGGTCGTGGAGAAATATGGCTGTTATCGTTCTGATGTGCCGTGAACTATGACTCAAATAAATCTTTTTTTTTTTTTGTGTAGAAAAAAGCTTATGATAGTGTGTGCTCTGATGAAAGGTATGTTGTCTCTGTGCTTCCTACCCCATCATTCCACGCTGTCATGGAAAGGTTGGCTGTTTCGTATTGTATCAAAGATGCAGTAAACGATATGTGTGAGCATGCTCAAACAAGAAGCACAGTGTGTTAATCTTTGGTGTCTGTTCTGTAACTTTTTCAGTCATCGTGTGTTTTGTTTTTGGGTTTTTTTTTAGATGGTCCCTTCACTACACGCATTCAGTGGTTAAACAATCGTATTGTTAATGAAAACACTTAGTTGTGTTGCGTGAATATCCTTCCCAAGGACTAGGATGCAGGTGAAATATTTTGTCTGAGTTGTCCTTATGCACAATTTTTGTTGGAATTTTGATGTGAGCATAATGGTGAAAAAAATTGCTGCTTCTTCTCAAGTTTGATTATTTTGTCAAGTGGTTGCTGTTTATTTGTGGACTCTTTATTTTCTGTGCGCTGATCAAGTGGTGTACTTTTAGATTTGTACATTGTATTCCCCCCTGGCCCCCACTTGTCATGTGTCTGTAAGGTTCAATGACTTTGAAATGATCCAAGTGGAATGTTTGCTCAGTGACTTACTGTGACTTAATGTTAATGTTCAATGGACAAAGTGAATCAACTGCAACTAGTATTCCCGTGTGTCGGGTTTTTAGCAATAAAGATCATGGAAGACTTTGCACCTTTTGTGCAGTTACTGACAAGCTGTATTGCTTGCTGTTTTGCTGGCAAGCTCTATTTCAGTTTGAGTGCTCATAATAATTTACAGCTCATTCATAGGAAATAAGATGTTTGAAATGGGAGCATATTCATACATTCTCTCTTTAGAAAAAGTTTTGTGAAGTAAATGCATGTTCTGTGGTTTTGTTATTTCCACTGGCAGTTTTCTCATTATCGATGGATAATATTAATATTTTCATACTGATGTCATTTGAAATAAGATTCGTAATGTTTAGTGTGCTTTCATTTTTAACATTCAGAAATTTAATATTATATTATTGTTTCATTATTTCTTAGCAGTGGGAAAGAAAATGGAAATTACAAGATTTCCAGTGAAGGATTTTATCAATAATTCTCTTTGTGCTATGTTTAACCAATCTATATTGTTGATGTCACCAGTTAAGTGAGTTGCTCAAAATTTGCTGTACACATGTAAAGCAGGGTCAAACAGACTGAAGTGACAGCAAGGATATTCAGATTAATCAGGCAGAGGGTAAGGAAGTTTGATACTTGGTATAATATGGTCTTAAGTTCTAAAAGTAAATTCCCCAAGTAAGTGGGTTGATCAAATGAGGGGGATAATTTGTTCCTTGCAAATACCAACAACTCCTCAGAGTGAAATGCTCAAGACTTAGAGACTTGTGTGTGGGCGGGAGAGGTAGAAAAAGTGGGAGAGTGTAGGAATGTCTAGTAATGTACCTTGACAATGTAGACCGAAGGTGTTTTGCTGTTGACAAATGTCTTACTCCACCCCCACCCCCCCAACCTTTTTTTAAAAAACCCTAGCCCTTCCGTCATCCCTTTGACTGTGATAGTGTTAAGCAATAATGAGTGTGGTTGTCCACTTCATTGGTTTTGATAAGGTGCATATGGATGTGGTGTGAAAGTGAGAGATGGGAACACAGAGAGAAAGTGCATTGTGCTTCCTTTCTTTGGCGTTTCACTTTGCTCTTTAATTTTGATGTATGATTATGAGTAGGTTAATTCTATTGAGTACGTTTATTCCTACAGCTTAAGAGGCAGAAAAATGGTTTCACAGTGACAATGAATTTCTCATGAGTTAATCTTAGAAGAAACCAAAATTACGAAGGTAATTTTGTACCTTTTTGTACGACTGTTTTTTCTTTTTGAGAATATCAATTTTCTAACTAACTTCCATACTTTTCCTGAAGTCTGCTAAACTGAAAAAAGTGTTGACTGAATGAAAATAGTGACTTTGTTGTTTTCTGTAAGTCACTGACTCTTTGGTATACTAACTTATTTATTCTTGTCGGTATTGGTCTTTTAAAAAAACCTTACTGTTTCGAAGTTTCGTTTCTGCTTTCATTGTTGTTGTTAATGGCCATCATATCCCTCTCAATGCCAGAAGTGTTTGACAGTAGAACTGTGAAGTAATAGGGTCCTCATCAATGTATTCATTGAGAGTTAGTGAGATGGCACTCTCTTGGGACAAAACTTGAGTTGTCAACTAGATTTGGTTGCTCTCCTGTACACAGTTGCGATTGCTGTCTTGTATGTTTCTCTTTCTTTCACTCTTCTAGGTTTTGGAAACTGATGCCTGTGGTGTAATAGTTGGGCACTTCACTACCATATGCAGGAGACCCGAGTTCGATTTCAGAGATGTCATAATTTTTATGAAGTATCTCAGTCATTTCCTCTGGGAGATCATTTCCCCTCTCGGCCCAGGTTGGCTCTGGCTGTGTCGATGGAGTGCAGTGAATGTCTGTCAAAGTTCAGTTTTTAGTTATAAGCTTTTTCCTGAAAGGCAAATGTAGAATCATGTGAGAGGCAACTGACGAGAAATAACATATCGACCCATTCGACTTTTTCGTGTTTTTTGTTAGGACTTCAAATAACTGTTTCTCGTTTCAAGCCAAACAATTCATAGAAATATATTTTCAATCGTTCAACGAGAAGAAATTTGTGATTGAGGGTTAGCGGAATTTTTTTGTTACACAAAGCTGTGAGATCATGGTGTACGATTTACTGTTGTTCAAATTAAAATGAGATGCGTGCAACGCATCAAATCTTGATGTTTTGATGGAAAACAACAGTGGATTATAGAAGACATTACTTGTACCTGTTATTGTATGTAGATGTCTGTAAGTGACTGCGTACTTGTTCAGTGATGCATACTATTTCACTGGAACACACTTACCTGCCAGCTAGTCACAGTGATAGTTGATATTTTATTTTATTTCTTCGTTATGATCAAATCTGTTGTTTTATCTTTTTATTTATAACTACTCTTTAATCAATGATGTGTCTTTTTTATTGGTTGCTGTCGGAGTCTTTAGAAAAAGCTGTTCCGATCTGCATAAATTCAACCCGTGGTGAAAAGAATTCGTGTCTGCTGCTGCTGAACGACTTTCACTATGTAAGTCCTTCGCTCACAGACGTGGCAGAATGTGGCTCCCCTTGAGAGAAAACTCTATGGCAGTCTTTCAGAGTTGAAGCGAACTACACAGTTTGTACGCGACATCGGACTGACTGCCTAGCTGCTGTCATCGAGAACGAGGAAGAAGAACTATGTAATTTTTTTTGTCTTTGATTGCTTTTTGTTTATCTACCAGTGTCATTGGAGCTTTTGTCATAAAAACTTTCTTGGGTTTAGTCTCTCTTTTTGCTTGTAATATGAGTTCCACAACATTACATGGTTCAGTTCATGCTCTTGTTCATGTGTAGATTGTTTGGGAGATTTTGTTATCCTTCCTGTTAAATGTACTAATGCAGAGTTCATTCTTAATATAATATAAGTTCCAGAGCTAAAGAGTGTGATCTGAGAGGAAGAAAGACGACGTTCTCAGGAGGTGGCCGTACATACTTGAAGGTTTCATGAAAAACAGGAATAATGAGTTTTTTTGTCGTTGTTTCTTTTGGGAGATTTAGGCCCGGGTTCCTTTCATGCTGTTATCATTACAACCGTTGTTTGTCCAAGAATTAATGATTGTTTGTTGAAGCCCAGCAGTGTTTCACTATCTCATCAAAATTTGTCTCAATTTAACAATCTAAAGATTGCTTTGAGGATGTGCACAATTTAGTTATTGTAACATGATGATGGAAACATCAGTCATGTATAGTTGTCACATGACTGTGTCATGTGACTGCTTTGAATATCAAAAATGCTCAACCCGTAACATGCAATGTTGTGTATATGTACAAGTTTGTCTGTGTGTTCGAGTGTTCAATGTTTTGAGATACTTTTGCACTTGTGTGACCATAAAATCGTGTCATATTTAATATGTAACAGCAACCTTTATGGTACTGTGTTGTATTTTCATGTTTGGCATAAGTTTGATTTCATGCATCACCAACTGTTTATGTACCTGCATGCTTTTCTGTATATATATATGTTGCTTTTGTGGGCAAACGACATTTTTGCACTGTTGTGAAAGGAACAATGGGTGTACTTGTGGTTGTGTGCGTTTTTGTGATCCCGAGATTCCAAAGTTTCCACTGGCAGGCAAGGCATTGTTTTGATCTTGGTAGTTGTTTGTGCCCCTGATTTACTCTAATGGTTTTCATGTGGCAGTATGCACAGACCACTTAACTTGTGACTTGTCTCTCCAGGGTCTATGGTTGAATGGTTAGGATTTTTACCTTGCATAAAAAAGATGAAAGTTCAATTCCAACTTAACGCAAATACTCTTCATAGTTTGTCTTTCTGCAAGGGTGGAATTTTCCGTATAGCCTGGGTTTGGTCTGCCCTTTAAATTATCTAAATTATGTCAATGAGTGTGTAAAACATTTACAGCCATACCCACCTCTGAGTGTCATTTATTTCTTCAGCAAATAAGAAAATGCCATGCGATTTGTCTACCATCATCTGTCTACCAGCTTTGCAGACCTATAGTTCTTTGATCTGTAGCCTAACAAGTCACAGGTGGAAATTTTTTGAGTCCGAGTGAGGGAGCTGTACATGTTGAGCTTTGCTGTTATTTAAACTTTTTTTTTTTTGCTCAAAAGTCTTGTTTTGTTGTTGATGTTGTTGCTGTTGTTGAGCCAACAGTCCTTGAGCTGGTTCTGTCTAACCCAGTGTCGTGTTCTCTGGAAACTGATGAGATCACATAAATTAATGTGTTAGCTCCCTTACTTAGTACAAGCCCAACCTTTGGCTAGGTGTCCAAAGTAGTGGTATCCAACTCACAAAAGAAGTTGAAAGGTCAGAAGGGCAAATTTTTTTCTGTTTTTCTGTTTTATCTTTAATTTTCTTGTTGTAGATAGTTTTGGGGTTGTTTTGTTGTAATTTTAATTGGGAAAGGGGGGAGAAAGGAGAAGGGAATGCGTCTCCCTCTAGAGACAGTACTACTTTAGGCCTAATGGTACTGACTAGATAATCAGTACCGTTCTCTGTTCTTGAAAGTGCGTTGTAAATTTCTCAACTGGCACATTTTTAGTTGGTTTTACTGCAAGCGTGAGTAAACCACTCTTTTTATAGTTTTCCCAAGCTGTTGCCATGTTTAGCGCAGTATAATCTGTTTGTTTACCGAAAATGTTTCTATCCTTTTGGCTTAGTGAATTACAATAAATCCTAATGTCACGTTCCTTGTCTTTTAAGTGGGTGGTTGGTGGGTGCTCAGGTAGGGTTTGCCCCTTCTTTCCTATCAAGCATCTATCATCTTGATCTCTCCTGTTTTATGTTTGTTACTCTCTTGTAATACCTCTAATCTTCGGCACTTATATAAACTTATTGTTTTGCAAGTGCCGTAAAACTCTTATTAAAACTAACTGTCATTTTTTAAAAAATATCTTCGCTTACTAAAAGAAATTAAGATTCTTTTAATATTCCCTTTTTTTTTAACAACCCTTAACGTTTTAGAGAAGAAGTCTGGATGTCTTGCGTTTGTCTTGATCATCATTGTAGGCGACCAACCTATTCTATGTTGTTTTTCGGGTCATAGTTATGTCTCTGACTCATAAGCAATGGTCATTGTGCAACTTGCTCCTCATACTATGCGAACATGTTGTTGCTTCTTGGTGTTGTTCTTTGTAAAACTATATTTGCTCTTTTGTCCTGTTGGCATATGGAGAGTTATTATATTTTTTTCTTTTGTTTCACTCTTCTCTCTTCTTCCCCCCCCCCCCTCCCCCCTTTAAAAATGGCAGAGTCCTGTCTAAATTAACAAAGAATGTTCTATTTATGGATATTTTGGTATGTGTCTCATAGGTTCCCTTTCTGCTGTGTCCTGTGCATGTGGATTTATTTAATGGTTTCAAAGGGCGATCAACATTGGGGTTTTGTCCATTTTTATGGGATTGAATTTGTGCGTGTGCTAGTATGTTGGTATGTGCGTAAGGAGTTCTCTTCGTCTTTACTTTAACTATGACATTATTGAAATGACAGAGGAAAAAAAATAAAAAATGCTTGTACCAAATGTTTCTCTTTGTTGTTGCTTTGATAAGGAAACGAAGGATAACACCATAATACAATTACCAAAAAAAAAATCTTATCTGACATATGAAAACAGGGGTCCACTCTGTGGCAGTGAAAGTGAAAGTGAATCACTCAAGAGCTACCAGGGAGTGGGCGCTATAGAAGTAGAAGTGATCTTTATTATTGTTGTTGTTGTTGTTATTTAATCACTAAAGACAGTGAAAATAAAATAGAAGCAACAGAAATGTGGTTTCTTAGGAGACTGCTAAGAGTATCGTGGAAGGAAAAGAAATCAAATGAGGTAGTGCTTGATGAAGCCCACGTGGGACCCTCAATGTTAAAAACAATCAGGAAACGACAAATGCAGTTTTTGGGACACCTGAATAGACATAAGGGTCTTGAACATCTAGCTCTCACTGGTGAAATTGAGGGCAAGCGAGGCAGGGGTAGGCCCAGAATAACATACTTAGGGAACGTAAACAAATGGGTAACAGGAAAAGATCAGGGAAACGTAGCTTTTTTAGAGCATCCGAGCAAAGGAATGAATGGAAAACCATGATCGCCGATGTCTGTCGCAGATCTGGCACTGGATGATGATGATGATGATGATGTTGTTATTATTATTGGGGGAGAAGTGGGCCACCCCCTGACAGGCCAAATCTAAAGGTCTACTGCAATTTTACATATATAATTTTAAAAAAAACTAACAAAAATTATTTCCAGCACAAGGAAGCAACTTCCTTTCTTTTTCAGGGCGGTTTGAGTGAATGGAGTGGAAAAGACATTTTCATCGAGAAAAAGTTTTAATACTTGATTGTTGAAACTCACAACTTCCCCACAGACTATTATTATTATTATTATTATTATTATTATTATTAGGTACGGTACACTAGCAATACCATAAGACTTTA